GAACCTACTAATGGGGAAAAAAGTGCAGTATATTGGCATTTTCGTTCGTCTGAGTACAACAAAGAGCACTAGAAACAACAAGAAGAGAAAGTAAAAATAACGTGGGAATCAACCATCCAAAACTAAGGTCAACAACATCAAGAATGATACAGGCTTTCCAACATGAACACGAGAAGAATATCATGATCAGGAGAAAACTGAATTTCTGCAATTTCTCCCTTCTGATTCGTATTATCTTACCCCTCTCTGGGGGAACGATGGTCACAAATTAAATGACAATGTAAGGTAATGCTTCGCATTATTAAGGAACAAACACTACAATTTTACAACAACAAACATTCTAGCTCTGAAGATTCTTACCAGAAGAAGAGTCACAACGAACCGAAGAAGGAAAAAATGTCATACCCATTCTGGATTCCTGTCTCACGCTTCAGCAAAAACCAGTTTTTACAGTCTCCATCAATCATGTCGGTGCTTTTCATTACGATTACATAATCGAGTCCAGGAGGGACAACGAAGCCTCCAAACGCGATGTCCGAAACGCAACGTAACTAAGCGTGCATCCCGACAAGAAAAACCTTAAACCGTCTTTCACACTTTTTCGACGGGCGACGAGTGTGCAAGGCCTTACAAAGCGCGATCGCAACGTCTCGTTTTGTATTATTTAATCCTCCTTTTTCTGCCCAGTCTCGTTCTTTTTCCTCGCGCCCCGGGTGGCGAGCGGCGTTCCGCAGCACCTTCGCAGGTGTGGGCCGGCGCCGCTCGATTCCGCGGCTAAGGCTCGGCCTTGCCAAGGGCGATTTCCCCACCGCGATTACGCGCCGGTGCCTCCGCCGCTTCGGAGACTTACCGCTCAGTACTTGACGTGTGGCGTCATATCTGTCGCCAGTACAAACGTACTATATCAGCCATGTGGACAGCGCTGGCGGAAGAGACGCTGGGCTGCACAAAGGCTAGGGAGCAAGGGAGGTTCGTGGGAGGAAACTGGGAGACCCCGAACACGGCGGAAACGCGTCGGCGGACACTGCAGGTGACGCAGTTCCGACAGCCTGCCCAGAAGGTATATAAGCGGATCCCGACCTAGCTCGATCTTCTGTTTTCATCTGATTCTTGGGCGCGCCGGTAAGACGTCGTGTGGGTTGTGCGCGGCGTTGCATTGTAATGCATAGGCGACCGAGGCGGGGAACCGAAGCCGGCGTGATAGGTCGTGACTCGCTAGTATGCTCGCGTAAGGTACTGGTGCATCACACCGAACATGGTAATTAATTATCGGGCCAGCGGTGGTGGTAACCAGGGAAACTTCCTTCTTGTAACGGTCAATTTATTTGTAAATATTGTATATTGTACTGTGGTGTCGGAGTATTTTATTTCTAATAAATACTAAATATTTACAAGCCGTTCACGTCTGTAATTTATTGCCCCGGCAAGACGCCACAGACAGAAGAACAAGGGCAGGTGTTCTGCGCACCACCAGGGAGGGGCGCTCGTTACAGAACTGTCGCACCCTTCGCAATTAATCATGAGCAGTTCGTTCCATCAGGGACACTGACTGTCAAGCTCTTCACACGAGAACGTTTCTTATCTCCTGAAGATAAGTAGACTAACGCAGTACTACAATATTCAATCATTACAACATCTGATATTATGAATTTCCAGTACCTGCACGGGTGAAATGTATGTTTGAACCCAAGAGGAGGGTTACTCCCCATTTGACTCTCCTTTTGTATACGAAATGGAAGTTACAAAAAGCTGCTCAAGCTATCAACTTTTCTTTATTCTCAAACCCTGGCGACAATATTTAATAGCACTTCAGCACTGGATCAATTAATTTTGTTTCAACGTGGCCACGAGCTGGAAAATCCTTCTGAGCTCAGGCACTTGCGCGGAGGCAAAAGGAAAGGGAAGAATCAGAATAAGAAGAACGCGACTGCTTGAGCGAGAAACTGGTTCTCCGGGCGCTGAAAACTGGAACTTCGCACAACAGGCGGAAGTGGTGGCCGGGCAGATCTGTCTTGCTTCTCTCGTCTCTCTCCCTCTTCGTCTGCCTTCTCCGCCACCAACTCGAAGAATGTGGATCTACGGTGGCATGCGTCCAAATATACCCGACCCCTTACTAATGCGTGACGGCCTCAATTTCAAAGGCGAATTAAGCCACAACAGGTGAATCATGAAAAGGTCTTGCGTAATTCACAGCGCAACGTTTTGTCATTCAAAATTGAAAATGTATATGAAAGAAATAATATATATATATATATATATATATATATATATATATATATATATACACAAGATACCAATAAGGTATTAGAAAAAAAACTATTATATAAATCAAATATTTAATTCGTTACAACGCAGACCTAAAATTATATACATGTCATTGTAATGAAAGGATGATGACACGAAATAATTATTTTACATCAAATGTTCTATGAATTTCCGAATTCAAATATTTTCAAATTGAATAATGCTTCACGCTGTTATCTTCGTTTGATAATTTCAGCTAATTTTTATGAATGTGAAAAGCATGCCTAGGTCTTCAAATGGTTTCTCTTTTGATGAATGCGTTCTTACCTCACACATTCGACTAACGAACTTTCACAACCCTGAAGTATTAAAATCCGTTCAATTATTATTATTATTATTATTATTATTATTATTATTATTATTATTATAAACATACATATAACGATTCGTTTAAACGTATAAACTTTTTCCAAACTTGTTCATATCTAGAAGACAAATAAAATATTCCTGGATCGCTTATCTCACTTCTTAAAAACTGCTTTTGAGGAGCATGCCGAGTTACGTCTGGACGAAACTCTGCTAGGTTTCCCGCCGATCAGCGCCGCAGGGTGCGACTCTACGGTCTTCTCTGCAACACGCAATGAATTTCTTTTTCGTGGACCTTAGAATTCTTTGGATCGTATCACTCTAGGACAGCGATCATCAACCCGCGCCCCGTGGCTTGTTTTTTGGAGGCCCGGAAATAAATATTCATTTAAATTCGGCCCATTGCATAGCCCATTAAATCCAATATTAACAACTTAGTGACAAAGAAACAGTGCCAGGTTTCACATTAAATTTAAGAATGTTATCGTACTTTGTTTAATAACATGGGAAAATGGAAGACAAGGCATAATACACATGTAAGCCCTAAAAGGTTAAGTAATATCTAAAGCAAAATATTATAATTATTATATTTTTCATTAAATAAATTTTTAATAAACCAATGTGGCCCGTTAATGTTTCACATAAAAAGAAAACAGGGTTCTACTTTATAAAAAGGTTAAAAACGATTGCCTAGAGAATCCGTCACCGCAGTTGCTGTTTGCTAAATTAAAATTTACCTAAAAACCTGCAGCCTAATGTGTTAGGAAAATGTCTAATTTTCTTGTCAATAGAAGGAACAAACGACGCTGGTGAAACATTTGGGCAAATCATTATTGTATATTTTGTGGCCAAAGAGTCAATACACAGGTTCCTTGTTCTTCAAAACTCTCCATCTTGGGCTTGTACATTCTTAATCCGTCCCAAGTAAAATTCGTTGAACGGGGGCAAAAAAATTAACAAGCTGTGAAATTCGTGTTTTATTCAGTAAAGAATTACTTATTGTAACCAAGACATTTTATAGATCTGATTTCAGTCAAAACTATCATGTTCTTCAAAAAGGGATTCCCCATTATAATCTCATATTTGCACATGTGCATTATAGTTTACCGAACTGAAGCTGATCACGTCTTGTAATGTAATCCTTAAAACATATTTTTTAGAATACGAGTAATAACATATGGGAGAATTATTTGCATAGGAAATGGATTCAGCAAAGAAAGCTGACTTGTTGTGTATGTTAAAAAAGAATGATAATTATTTCTAAAGCCTAATTTGACTGTCGAGGAACGTTCTATATTTTCTCTACACTTACGAATTTTTACTAACTTTGCGAGTCTGATTTCTCAATAACACTACAATAGATGTAATTAATAACTGTTAGGATAGAATTAAAACGCACGCTTTTAAATATGTGAATGTTGTTAACCACACCAAAAGAACAAAAAGTGGTTCCGTCGGAGAGCCTCAAAGACAGGCAACGACAGATTGTTTTTCCCCCGCCAACAACTGCCCTTTAATTTGGCAATGGTCCTTTTTATTACCCGCAAAAATAACTGCTCTACCTGCTTATCTTGATCAATTTTCTCCTGTTATTACTCTCTGAAGGTCGCGAGTCTGGTTTCTAACATACGAAAGAAAGCCAAGTAAAGAAAAAAACAATCGCTGCCATCACTGCATACTCAAGGACTAGAAAAAATTGACAAATAGAAACTACAATTAAACAAAATCGTGAAATTTTCACGAACATTTAATGTTATCAGAAAAAAAATTAAATTAAGAGAATGATGAAATATAGGCATCCCAGAGTTTTTCTTGGCCTTTCTTTTGAGATGGTTCATGAAAGAAAAAAACAGACACAGATTGTTTTCATAAAAAACGTTCCCCTTCCAATTGGTAATCAGACTCGCGAACAGTTCAAAAGCGAATTCAGAAAGGCGAGCTTTCCCAATAATTTCTAAAACATTTCCTACGATCATCAAAATTCATGTTCGGCAATTTTCTTTTTAATAAGGATTTTACAATATTTGCCCTCGAGACGTACATTTATCATTTCTTCTTTGTTCTTTCTTCTGTTTTACATCAGGTTTCGACTGGATGATCTTCACATTGTTTTATCCATTACTTCTTTTATTTGTTTATCGCTGCTTCCGTTTCTCACATCAAGTATTCTCATTCCTTTTCTCCCTCTTCCTTTTTCCCTACCAACCTTGCCTTCTATTAAATTTTCTTGCACACAATGTTCTATTCAGTTCTTTATTATTTCGATCAATTGTCTTTCTTCTGTCAAGCTCGTTTTAAGTAGAAAACCTACGAACTTGATCCAATTACTTCTACCTCTGAGGCACGTGTGATGGCCAAAACCTAATAGACAGAACACTACTTCTGTGGTGAACAGAAACTTTGCCGTTGTGAAATACCTGCATCTGAGAGAGAAAGAGAGATCGTGGAGTATGCGCAAAGCACAGCGCTCCAATCGCCCAACGTGACGTCAGTATCAAGAATGCATCGCTTGTAGAGCAGACTCCCACAAGGCAGCTGACTCTGCACTCACCTGGAACAGAAGAAGGAATTGTTACAATCAGAAAAGGAAGGCAACCTCGTCCATACAGAAATTTCTACAATGGGGCAAAATTTCTAAAAACAACGCTAACACTCAACTTTTTTAAGATGTGTCCGAGAAGGTTTTAGTACACTCAATAATGTTTAAAGTTTACAGGGCGTGTAATATTTACACACCATTACTTACACACACAAAATTACACGTACTTCATCACACAAATCACTATGTGCCTACAGATGAAAGCAGTCAAGAGTGCAGGATCACCAATTTTCCAGTCTTTCGAATTCATAATTTATAAGTAAAATAGAGGTTTCTCAAAATATGACATTTGTGGAACTACTAAAACTACTTGACTAAGACTCTTACGTCCAGTACAGTTAACATCATCGAGCTAGGATCTTTTGCAAGTGAACATTCGTGACAATTTCAATAATTCTTTACACGCTTCAATCTAAATCTCTGAAACATTTAGAAACATAATCTCAACGAAACAAAATTACGCAAAGAGAACAGTAATACGGAGACAAGGAAAACATTTATCGTCAGTAAGATTTCTCCATTTCCGCCCACAGCTTACTTCCTTAAAACTACTTTAGGAGGGAAAAATAACATAGGATGCAATACTTACATCTGAGGTTGAAAATTCATTGAATATTCCAAAGATGTATCAACTGATTACAGACAAATTGCTACCAATTCAAACAGCAAAATGGGATCCATTGTAATATTTATTGATCTTGCTTTACATATACATCATACTATTCGATCAAAATCCGTTCTACTAGTGCCAAATATACCAATAAAATTATCAAGAATTACGCAATGAGTTTCAAATTACAACCCATGTGGATCCTCGAGAATGAAAATTATCGCATCCACGTTCGAAAGTTTGAAAAAACCTAATTGGTGATTCGACTCCACTACTTGCTTCAGCGAAGGCAAAAAAACTTCAGAAACTCTTTTGTTGGTTTTTTCAAAAATATTACTTTTTTTTTTATACGAATGGAAACATTTCTTAGTAAACACGACGCGTTTTCAGATTGCCAACATGGGTTCCAAAAAACCAAAATATACGGAAACAGACTTTTTTCCCTTAAAGACAAAGATGGTTATCTTTTTATCTTAAACAACGATCTCAGAGAAGAAATACCTTACTGGAATAATGAAACCTGTACACACCTTTCCCATTCATTACCAATTACACGCGGAGTCCTGAAGGGATCGATTTTAGGCCCAACTTTCTTACTATTATACGTAAACAATAAGTCCTCGACGCTTAGAAACGGAAGAACAGTTCTCTTTGTCGATGATACGAATATTCTTTGCAATAAAGAAACCGTAAATAGTACAAATCAGATATTTCAAATTGGTTCCGTAATAACAAAATAATAGTAAATGAAAAGAAAATGGTTTCTATTCAGTTTTCTATTTCATATAAACAGCTCTTCACTTCACTGAAAATGAACGGTGTGCCATTGACTGATGTAACGGTAACAACATTTTTAGGTCTTTCAATTGAGTCAAACCTTCAATGGAACGTCAATTTAATTGAATACTGAATTAAGTTCTTTACGCTACACTTTCAGAATTCTTTCAAATTTAGTCAGCCTCCATTCTGCTCGTTTTGTATATTTAGCGAATATTCATTCTCGCCTGAAAGATGGCATAATATTTTGGGAAATGCATATTATAGCTCCCAGACTTTAAGATTAAAACCAAAAAAAAATTACGAATAATAGGCAAATCCCATTCTTATATGCCTCTCTTTATTAATGTCGGTATTTTGCCATTACCTTGTCTCTTCATATATGAATCAGTGGTTTTTGTCAAAAATGACTTACTGAAGGACAGGAATATATTTTCAGAAAACGCCGTTGTCTATACAACACTCAACGTAGTAATCATATTCATCAGGCGAAGGTATCAACAGCTCACTACAAAACATTGACATATAATACATGTACATTATTTTACAACACCTTGACATTTGACGATTAAATTCGATGCAAAATTTTAAGTCTCAAGTAAAATCTTTTCTGCTGCACCACTGTTTCTATACAATTAGAGACTATACCAAGCATCCAAAAGGAAAGTAATATTAATTTGAACAACGACATTTAGTTTTTATCATTTGGATTGTATAATTCTAAAGAACCTGTAACAAGTATTATACTTCAGCTTCTGCGTCAAAGACCCCATCTCGATCAGGTTTTTGTCCAGTTTCCCTGATCCTTGAGCAAATGCTGCGATTTTTCTACAAGAGTCAACAACTTTAATCGAACTGAACTGTTTTATCATGCTTTCACTTTGTGCAACTCTTGTTTTATGCATTGCGGTGTAACTATATTGGTATCAGTAAGTAATAAAACTAAAGATCTACCAATCAGCGAATAATAGTTCTTTTCCTGGTGAAACACAATGTGCAGTAAAAAGTGGGGCTTTCCCAAAACAAATCATCACGCGGAGGATGACGCGCGCATTCCGGCATTTGCGTTTCAAATCATAAAACGCTAGCTCGTGATTTTTAAACAGTAAAGATCGAAAACGGTATCGTGAAGATGGAATGTCGTTGAACACATTCCAGTGTTAGCTCGTTTGCCAATTCCAAAAGTTGTCCTTTTCAAGAGCTTTTTCACAACGTATTTCTCATTCTAACACATCTACTGTTAATGAAGTATCATAAAGTATCCCCTTTGAAGGGGAAATATATCAGAACCCTTTCAGGGAAGAGAAATCTTTATAGGAAAGGTGTACTTGCCCTTCTTTAACCGACCAAGATATCAAAAACGATAAAGTCACAAAGAATTTAACATACTATAATGGAATAATATGTAATCTCTGTATAATGGAATTCATATCCTTTAAACAGATTACAACTTTTTAACTCACTATATTTATAAACGAGAACTTATCAAAAATTTCAATTAAAAAAAGGTGTGTCCTATTTTTTTAATCAGGTTTCTCAACATTACATGCAGAAACAAGATGACAGTATAAATAATATATATGGAGCCGGATATTCCGATAAATAACAAACAATACAGGCAGATTTACGCAGATCCAAAAGGTAAAACGCACAAAACACACACAACCGACTACAACAGGGTTCTCCAAGACAGACTCAATACAATAAGTGAGCGAAGATATGTTCCCGCTTCGGATTGTTACGATTTCAGAACTCACAGCATTCAGTACTCTTATTTGGATACCAAACAACAGAAACGTAGGGGACGGGCGATTTTGTGGTGGGCGTAAGAGGAGTGAAGAACTCCGCACCGACGAATCGCTGAGCGACGCCGAATCAGTGAGGCGGCCTGAAAGCCTGGCCGGAAGGCGAGGGGTGCGGGCGGTGAGGGGCGGGGAGGGGACGGGAGACACGAGGAGCGGCGGCGCGGTGCTGGCGCGGCGGAACGGAACATGTGCAGTGCATGGCTGCACCGGCCACGGCGGCGCTCATTGACGAGCAAATTGGATAACGAGGAGAGATTTTCGCCGTCCCGCCAACCCCGCCCCGCCCGGCGCCCGCCGCGCGCACTTTGCGAACGAACGACGCGTTGCGGAGTCGCGGCAGGGCCGGGCGGTGCGGGACGGGGCGGGCGAGTGAGGGTCAGCGGAGAATCGCCACCCACGTCAGCCAAGGACGCTTAGAGGCAACGTAATAGCACGAACCACGAAGGAAAGAAATGAGCTCCGGTGCTTCAACGATATACGATAAATAACACGTAGAGATGGTCTCTACTCACGGACTCTATTGTCCTCGCACGTTCAGAAGCGCATGATCAGTTTTCCGGCCTGCGGAAACATTCTACGAGGTCCAAACAAATATCGTATACTGGCTTCAATATTCAGACGTTCGATTTCATGACAACCTTTCGAATTGAGCTCCGATGGCCATGGTCAGGGAAGATGGTTGATGTTCTGACATACTAAGCCACCGAAATTCGCCTCTTTATAGTACATGTTGGCAAAATACATAATGATTTAAGTGAAAACATAAATTACTGTAAAACGAAAGGAGGGATGAAATAATATCTACGCTTAGAACAGAAAGCAATACAATGTGAAGTGATAACAATCAATGATGTGAAAAGATGACCAATATAAACCGTTTCAAAAACCGGGATGTTAACAAATTAAAAAGTATATTAACAATAATTGAAATTTGAACCGATACATTACGATGTAAAGGTTTTCCGTTCAGGAGCATTGACTAATAGTTATTTACGACCCGAGTGATGCACACACTATTTTTTTTAGACAGCCTTATTGACTTTCACTTTATTTTAATTTACGTAAAAACTGACTTAATTATGTACCACGTTACATTAAGGTTAATAGTAGCGGATGTGGACAAACGAAAGTATTTTATTGGCTTTGTTACATTCACAGTTTTATCTCAATATTTGAGCTTCGTCTCCCTTTCAGGGTTAGTGGTAAAAGTTTGCACGCTGTGCACGACCTACAAGGAACAGCTTTTACTGGGACACTCTAAAAAATCTACTTTAATCCCAGAACACGATTCTATTATATATTATCACATATTACTACTTAATTTAAAAGCTAATATCCAAACATTAGCTCTCACGTTTGAGATGTGAAATCGACTAGATCAATCGGGCACTGTGAATTTGGAAAATATCCTGGGTAGGGTTTACGTACTTGTTCACAGATAAAAAGGTAACTGACCGACGTTCAAATAAAATAGAAATCGATATTACAGACTTCCGTCTCAAAACGATATTTTCATCAAAAACAAAACAAACAAACAAAAGAATACAGCAAAATGGCCTTTACGATATCTTATCAGAACAATCCCTACAAAACGTAAAGACACATCACTCAAACTAGTTGCATCACAGCAATGGGATATCCGGCAACGGCGAAGATCGGTAAACGGCTGAAAAGGGGCTAAGTGAATTGGGAGAATAGTCAAAGAGAATAAAAAGGCGCGGTTAGAAAGAAAAAGACCATTCGCAGAATTTCAGTGCCTG